CAAACTGCTGTCCCACAACCAAAAACCACATTTAAAAAGCATTTAAGTAATTAAATCTTAGATGTTTATTAAGATCTTTCTATTATCTATTGAAACCCACAATAATATTTAAAATATTAGTAAGCTTAATATATATAAAACCATCATTTATTGGGTACTTTCAATTGTGAGGTGGCTGTCCCGACCCCTAACCCCTAAATTTCAAATGATATTGAAATAATTTTTGCATTTTTTCCATTGTTGTTTTAAAAGTATATTTTTGATTCTTTTAAAAAGGGAAGTTCAAAAAAATATTTATTTTATATTTTCTTTGTAAAATATGAAACTTTATGTAAAAAAATGTGTCCCGCATTTTTAATGTCACTACCGAAACCGTGTATGTTTAGTCCATTGGCCGAGACTGATTTTAAACACACCCATAAATTTGTGATCAGGAAATATTCCAGTGTCCTTCTATCTCATAGCTACAAGGTGTGAGTAGATAGATCTTATCATTTTGAGGTAAATGTGTTCAAAAGTCTGAAAAATCTGTGTGTAACTTTAAGGAACGTCACTACCGAACAACTTTTTTCTGCAATTAAGCACACTTTTTTGGGAGTTATTCCATAACATTTAGTTTTTAAGTGTATACCACTGTTCAGAACTGTGCTAGCTAACCATGTGCTGTTTAGCATCTTTGAGCTAGGTTCAAAAGTATCTAAAATTGTCACTATACCGAAACAGTCACTACAGAAACATTTGGTGGGGATTCGGTAGTGACATCTTTAGGTTTTTTTTGGGTGTTATCCCATAGAATTGTCACTGCCGAAACAGTCGCTACCGAAACATGTCATCATTGTTTCGGTAGTGACAAAAGGGAATACATAATCCTCATATTTGGAGGAAATAAACAAAATTTTAGTACAGTTTTGCATTTTTTTTTTGTATTTTAGTATGTTTTAGTATGCGAGTTAAAATTCTGTAATGTGATGTGGTTGCTACCAAAGCATTACTGTCACTACCGAAACATGGGACATTTTGTCAAAAATAAAGTAAGATGTTGTAATAGTTTTTGGTTCAATGTATATTCAAACTAATGTATCCTTAACTTTGAAATCAGTACGATCAACTTTTTGCCTTTTACAAAGAAAAATTGGATTCAAAATACAAATCTCATAAATTACCCTTGAAATATTGTTAAAAATTTAATTGTTATTGATTCACCTCTGAAAAAAAATGAAATCAACAAAATAGCTACTGTCACTATTTACAATCTAGATGTAAGCAAAATCTTAATAAGTCAATATAACCTTTCTAATTAAATTATTATTACTGTGTTTTGGTAGTGACAAGTTTGGGGAGAGGACAAATCTCTGAAAATACAATATGAGAATTAACTGCACAATTACTAGAAATGTTTTGTGGTCCAGGGTCACATATTATCTTTCATTTCTTGTTCTATTCGTGCCAATGCAGAAAACAAGTTGGTGTTCATCCAACCATTTGACGACTGCTTGAGCTGCTCAGTTGTTGGTTGTGATAACGTCAATGGCTGTCAGTCTGTGGAGTGTTTGGTGATCAAATGCTCTTCATGGTTGAAATAATGGTTTAACTGGTGGTTCTTGGGAAGTGTTCTTGGGTTCATCTGTTTTTTTCTCATAAACTCAAGTTGCTTTTGGCCTTTTATTGACTCTAGAGTGACATATATTTGCGATTAAAGCCTCACTCATTAACACGGGGTAACATCGAGTAGGAGTGAAAATCATTACCGCAGGCCTGTGTGTTTCATTTACAACTCACTCCACTCATTTGGGTCGGTAATCTTCTTTTATAAGTCTATCCTGGATTTACTGCACAAGACATGTGGAGCATACACAGATAAATGAAGTTAGACAGCTCAAGCGCATTGTAAACCTCGTAAAATGGCTTTGGCTCTGTATATTCAAGCATGCTGTATATTCAATGAAATGACAAAAGCCATGATTCTGGAGACATGCGACAAAATATGCTATATAGAAATGCAAAAAGTCGAAAATTTAACAACTTTATAAAAACATGTAAAATATATTAGCATTTTCTTACAAAATGTGTTTTTTCCTCATCATTTTATGTGTCAACACCAGGATTATTATCATTAGCTAAAACTAAAAACATTTGAAAATAAAAACGTACGTGAAATAAAATACAAAAAGTTTAATAAAAAGCATAACATTAAATTATGAATTAAAATGCTTAATATATTATGTTGATCATACATTTTGTATAATTAATAATATATGTATATATATAATTAATTTAATGTATTATTTATATATAAGAAATATACAAATCATAAATATAAACAATTACACTTATTTTATTCCAGCTATTCACCAAGGCAACATTTCTAATTTTCCTAATTAGTCCTCATTAATCCTAAAGTACTACAAGAAGTAAAACTAAATGAAGAAAATTCTATAACTATATAGACATATTTATAAAAACCTAATAAAAAAAAGAAAAAATACAACAAAATTACTAAAACTAACTAACATGAAAATGGAAATAAAGTCTCATTCAAAATATTAACAAAAACTAGAATAGTTTTTACCAATTATACTAAAATAGCGCTAATCCACACTGTCTGATTGATTGATTGATTGATTGATTGATTGATTGATTGACATCCTTCAGGAAAAAGCCTGATTTGTTATTATCTGATTTTCTAAATGTTTTCATAAATATAAAAACACAGCTGTGAATCCTTAATAAAAGTATATATTTTAGTAGACATAGTAGCAATATTTCTTTAAAATATACTTATTTATATTTCTGTTTAAGTTAGAAATTTGAATGAGTACGATATACCAAGATAGGCAGGTTTTTGGTGTCAGTTTGTTGTGGTATCAAACACAAAGACCCCTGAAAATGTGTCCAGCAGTGCAATCACTGGAAATACGGATCAGTGGATAAATAAATAATATGGATCACCAGATAAAGACATATGTGGACATGCAATGCTGAGTTGAGTTGAGTCGAGTAAAGCAATAAGCCCCAAGAAGCCGTGGTTTACAGTGAATTTACATTACATTTACATTGTCATTTAGCAGACGCTTTTATCCAAAGCCACTTACAAATGAGGACAATGGAAGCAATCAAAATCAACAAAAGTGCAATGATATACAAGTGCTATAAGAAGTCTCAGTTAGCTTAACGCAGTACACGTAGCAAGGGTTTTTTAAATAATATAATAAATAAAAAGAAAACAGATAGAATAGAAAAAGAAGAGCAAACTAGTGTTAGAGGCCTTCATTGCTTTTGTAAAATTGTATAATAAATAAAAAGAAAACTAATAGATCGAATACAAAAAGATTAGAAAAGCTAGTGTTAGTTTTTTTTTTTTTTTTTACAGGTAAGACTCAAACCACTGGAGTGCGGTTCCTGAGATGCCCTTTGCCAATAGGGTTGACAGGAGGATCTGGTGGTTAACCGTGTCAAAAGCAGCGGACATTTATAACATAAATTATAATTATGATATAATTTATAACAGCTAAGGGGCGTTGCCTATAACCCCCTTAGCTGTTATAAATTCAGTGTAAACCACGGCTTCACGGGGCTTATTGCTTTTATAAAACGGTTATTCCATATACGTAGTAAGGTTTCACAAAATAAAACAGAGCAAATAAAGTGTAATGATATTAATAAAAACAATATTCTTCCACCAAACAATGTAGTTCCTCAGAATCAGTTGTGGTTGCAACAAAGTGGTTGCCAAGCAACAGACAAACGTAAACAAAGGTGTATGTTTGTAGTGTAATTTACAATAGTAGCAGTATTTCTTTAAAATATACTTATTCAAATTTCAAACTTAAACAGAAATATAAATGAGTACGATGTACCAAGATAGGCAGGTTTTTGGTGTCTTAAATCAATCTGTCAATGGCATTCCCTGATTTATTTGTGCAAATATTGTTATTTTCAAACCGAATGGTGACATTGTGAGACATTTTTTGGTCCCATGTGTATCCTTTATAATGTGATTTCTCACTGGGTTGTGATGTTTCTTTAGTCTTCCAGCTCGTCTCAGGAGCGGCTGCATCAGTTGCCGTTCCAGCCCACACTGGACGAGCTGCACTTCCTGTCCAAACACTTTGGCAGCACTGAGAGCATCACTGACGACGACGGCCGGAGATCACCGCATGTGCGGCCGCGCTCGCGGAGTCTGAGGTGCACAGTCACACACAAAGCACATCTCAACCAATTTATGCAAAATGTCACTTTTATCGTCCCCTCTCTGTTTCTCTCTGCAGTCCAGGGCGATCACCTTCCTGTTACGATAATGAGATTGTTATGATGAACCATGTTTATAAGGAGCGGTTCCCTAAGGTTAGCGAAACACAAACAAACACTTCAGACTAAAATTAGATTGCATCCGATATAGTATCATTGCGATTGCATTGTTGCATTATTTTCTGGAAATATTGACGAGTGTTAATTTTGAACTCTAGTTTGTCTCTCTAACTAAGCTCATATGTATCCCCTGTTGATGAAGACGTTATTTAAACGCTGTCTATCTGTTACCTTCAGGCCACGGCTCAGATGGAGGAGCGCTTGGCTGAGTTCATCGAGTCGTACTCACCTGAGAACGTGCTGCCGCTGGCTGACGGGGTCCTCAGCTTCATCCACCACCAGATCGCAGAGCTGTCCCGAAACTGCCTGACCAAATCTCGAGAAGGCCTCATCACCACCGTCTACTTCTACGAGCTGCAGGAAAACCTGGAGAAGCTGCTGCATGAAGTGAGCATATGTGTGGGCTGGATATGAGTATGTGTGTTTCAGCTAATATGAATTCATATCTCACTTTACTTGACTGGATTATTAAATTGTTTTATTAGTTACATAATATTTCATTAGCTCAATGTTTGTTTGTTTAAAGAAATTACCTAGTTAATATCCAGTTAAAAGATCATTTGTAATAGATTTTTTATTGCATCTCTGATTACTTTTTTTGTTGTTGTGTGTGTGTGTGTTTGTTAAAATACCAGAAATTTCCAGAATTTCTCTATATTGGTAAATGTTAAAATATTTTTCAGTTAAAATACTTTTCAGTTTTTCCTCAAAACATTTCAAAAGTATATTTAAAATATATCCACGTCATCAGACATAGCAAAATTCACTTGAAGTTTCAATACTACGGAGGGCCAATTTTTGTAATTATTTATGTACATAATTAAATATTTTAATACTTATTTTAATAAATAAACATTAAATATTAAAACATTAAATATTTTAATAAATATATATATTTTTTTAATGATGAGTTGACAGCTGTAACCCTGCAAATGAAAAAAGTAAATGTCACATGCTTGTACTTACATGAAAAATTAATCCAAAGGTGATGATAGAAAAAATAATGCTTTTTAATGCTAAATACAATAGACATTTATTAATTTGTTTAGTATTTGAATAATGATTTTAAAGATTTTAAGTTATTACTAAGTATTTAATTAAGTATTTAAAGATTGATTTAAATATTTGTAATATTTATTTCATTATTTAATTTGGAGTTATTTGGCCCTCTATACTCTATGGCAGGGGTACTCACTATTTTTTTCACGAGAGCCGCACTGATAGGACAAAGTCAATAGGAGAGCCACTTTTACTGCAAAGTATCAAAAGTTACATCCAGCCATAAATAGCATGTCTGCTTATCAATCTGTCATCCCTGAACATATAATATGCAATGCAAAAAATACAAAAGGGGGGAAAAAAACATTCTTTATCATTTACCAGTCAAATTTGTAACTGAGACAAGATGATTTCCCTTAATGAAAAAAAGGAGGATTACCTTAATGCTGGGATGAGCGGAAGCATGCATGCATTTCCTTGACTTTTTTCATGTTGTATTTGTAGCTTGTTGTTGCAATCCTTGTGAGGCATTCAAGATGTTCATTGGTGAGGCGGCTTCTCTGTTTCCTCTTTATGGTGTTCATGGTTGAGAATGTTGACTCACAAGTGTATGTGCTCACAAAGAAGGACATAACTTTTTGCACAAGTGGCTTCAAAGTGGGAAAGTCTTCTTCAGACACCAAACTCCAGAAGTGACCAACACCTGATCTGAGTTCCAATTTGAAATTGTCTTTTGTCTGCAGTTCTACCATTTCACTTTCTACAGCAGCACGCTGAGTAGGGCAGAGCAGAGTGATAGTTGGAGTGAGAGATGACACATCCACATGGAAGGGGTTTTCAATAAAGTTGAAAATCTCCTTGTGCTCATTCACATCCTTGAATCTGGATTCAAATTCCCCGCTCAGCTCTTCCAAAACATTCACAAATTCTCTGTGGCTGAAGTGCTGCTGCAGAGATGGGTCATTTGTGGTGACAGCTCTGAGTTTGGGGAAGTGAATGAATTCTCTGTCAGGTATGTATAGGGCAGTTATTTTGTTCTGAAATGCTCTGATTGCATTCAGCATGTTGCTTGGAAGCTTATCTCTTCCTTGAAGCTTCAAGTTAAGAGTGTTCAGGTGACAGGTGATGTCAGTAAGAAAAGCCAGCTGTGTGATCCAGCATGGGTCTTCCAGCTCTGGCTCCCGTTTTCCTTTGTTGTCCAGGAAAGTGCAAATCTCAGGGAGGAGGCTCAGAAACCGTTCAAGCACTTTTCCACGGGACAACCATCTCACTTCACTGTGCATCAGTAAATCACCATACTCTGTGTCATAGTCCTCAATGAGTTGTCGGAACTGTCTGTGGTTCAGCGCTCTGGAGATGATGAAGTTTACCACACGAACAACTGTTTGCATCACGTTTTGGAATGTGTTATTTCTCAGTTTTGATACCAGTGACTCCTGATGGATGATGCAGTGGAAACTGATAAAGTTTGGTATTTCTTCCCTTTTTTTCATGAGCCCAACAAGCCCCTTCTCCTTTCCTCGCATGCTAGGGGCGCCATCTGTGCACACACTTGCTAGACCCGACCAACTGAGATTTTTTTTATCAAAAAATGCCAGAAGTGCATTCAGAATGTCCTCACCTCTCGTTTGGCCAACAAGTGGAAGTAAGCACAGCATTTCTTCTTGGAAAGACTTTTCTTTAGGGAACCTTACCCAAACACACAACTGAGCAACATCTGTCAAATCGGTGCTTTCATCCACCGCGATGCTGAAACACGGTGCTGCTGACACATCTGCACAGAGCTGGTCACTCACATCTTTGCCGATGTTTTCAATCCGCCTCATTGTGGTGGAATCGGATAATTGTAATCCTTTAATTTGCTTTACAATTGCGTCCTTGTTATCAAACTCAGCAAACAATATTTCTGCTGAAGCCAAAAAGCAATCTTTCACAATTTCTGAGTCTGAGAAGGGTTTTTTTCCGCGAGCCAAAATCCAAGCGATCTCAAAAGATGCCTCAGTTAAACGTTCAGCTGTAGAAGTTGTCCTGTGTATGAGCCTTTGTTGTCCAGAAAGAGAGGAAGAAAGCTGCTCTATTTTTCTTTTCCTTATTTCACTTCCAGGTGGATAACTTTCGTTGAATTTTGGGTGCATCGTTTGGAAATGCCACTCCAAATTACTTCGCTTCAAACCAGAGCGGGTTTGTTTGCATAGTAAACACAAAGGGTTTGATCCGTGGAGCACAAATAAAAATTCTTCTGTCCACTTTTCTTGAAATTTTCTATGCTCATCTTGTAGGGCTCGTACCTTTCTCTTTTTAGCAGGAGTTGACTCTCCACAAACTCTGTCTCCATCATCTTCCTGTCGATTTGCGGTTGTTGCATGCTCCAAATCTGTAGTTCCCTCGTTTGACACTGTCACATTTCTTTGTTGCTGTCCACTTTTTTATATATCTGGAAAGACCGCCAAAACTGGCAACTCTGCAGTGAGTCAGTGTCACGGACATATAAGAGCAGAGCAAGTTTAAATATATTTTCTAGTTTATATTTCCATCTTGTAATGCCGCAGTTTTGGGTATTTTTAAATATAAATTATTTGTAAAACAGACTCTGAGTTTTTTATGTTATAGCCCTGCTTGTTTTTAATGTTTTTATGAAATATCTGTATTGACTGCATGATCATATGACCGTATTATTTAATGCCATGCGAGCCACAAATTAAAGCTTGGCGAGCCGCAGGAGGCTCGCGAGCCGCGCAATGAGTAACACTGATCTAGAG